TTATAAATTTATATACGTAACTCGAACAATGCCCAGACCATTATATCCACTTCTTCTGAAGTTTCTGATTCAAAAAACCGCCACCAAAATGCTTTGAAAGTATCGGAAGTCTATATAGGGTTAGGAGTCATCGCAAGTGCATTTCTTTTCTCACGAGGACCAGTTGTATGCACATTGCATAAATCAACGTAGTTGCAACTGTAATCCTGGCTTTCAAGACACTGGAACTAACCTGATTGCTAACGCGGGCCTAATGTAGTACCCTTCAGGCCGTCCAATCGCTGACGCTGCAGCGGCTATGTGACCGCAAAAGGAAAGGTCATGTGACCACTCATAGGAAAGCTGAAGTGTAAAAATAGCAGCACTTCACCTTGTTAAATGACTAAGCGATACGAAAGTTTTGGCACACGAAGGTACCACGATGAAGTTGTTTAGTTTAATAAATAATTTTTAGGATAACTCCATTCCCTGAGGTTTAAATTCATTATTTTAATTGATTTTAATGTAAAAATACTTCGACAAGCGACATTTGATTGGCCGACTGTATTATGACTTGCACCTGTCAACATTTCCCTTTTTTCAAATGAAAAAATACTTAGATTTGAAATGCTTTTGTACATACAGAAAACATCCTTCCTGCTTTTTTTTTTTTTTTTTTTTTTTTTTGGGTTCATTTCCTCATCCACAGTTCCGCTGAATCGCGGAGGAAATTCTTGTTGCTGTAATTTAAAAATAATTTTGAAACGGCCTATTTCTTGGTATAAAAAACTAAACTGGTTCTCTGACTCTTTGGGTCTGTAGAGCACATTTAGTGCTTTGGTTACAAAAAGAGGCCGATCAACTGCACAATTTGTGCGTTATCACTACTTCCTGCACGCCGTGTGGAGTCTCAGTACCGCTGGAATATTACACAGTCCGCTCTCGCTTCGTCGTCAATCCCGACATAAAGTAATTTTCATTCATATTATTTTATTTGACAAAATACTCTAACTCAAACAATAAGCAATAAGATCATGCAAGTACATGGGCATTGATTCATGTCGCAAAGATTCCGTGATAATGTTAAGCCGGTCGAGATTAAAATATGGCCGCGTCCAAATCACTCATGGCTGTGGCTTGAAATTGCACACAACTTTATGAAAACTGGCTGCGGCCATAAGCATAGACTCGTGTGTGATTTCTAGCCGCAGCCAAGCAATTCGGACAGGGTATATATAGTAGGTGTATCAACTGAAAGTTACGTTTATAAGCTGGTGAATAAACAGTGCCTAAGTATTACATCAATGAATACTTTGTCGTTAGAGCGCCCTCGCTTAAAAGATGCCATCCCTTTGAAATTTGCCCGGGTACAGTTGTGATGACTTGGCCCACTAACGTCTTCCATCTCAGGGTACTTTATTCAGTTTCGCTCCTACCAGGGACGGATCCAATATCAATGCAAAAAATGGGGTGTTAAATTTAACCTTCCCGGTGTTATTAGAGGACTACACCAACACTTTTCACTGGTTTAAAAATTTTGGTGTTATTTGGTGTTACTTTTAACAACCTTCAGTGCATTGTGACACTTATAGGTGTGCCAAGTAACACCAGCGGTGTTAAAGTAACGCCCTATGGTGTGGTCATAACACCAAAGAGAGTTGATTTTAACACCAGCGTTTTTACAATGTAACAAATTTTCGGGGGAGGGAGGGGGCAAACTTGATTTTTTTGGGGGAGGGGGCAAAAATGCTACGTATTTTATGTTACTATATGGCTTCGCTGAAGAGTGAGGCTACATTTGGGGGCTTTTTACACGCTTTTTGAAGGAAGGGAAATGAAACAGACAACAAATTCTGCCTTTCTCTCGTTAATTTAAAAGAAAATGTTTGGCTCTTTGTTTTAAGGGGCATGGCCCCCCTGGATCCGCGCTTGCTCCTCACCACTGATACAGGGCATTGGAACAGGCAGTTCAGGATAGAATACGGAAGCTTAAATTACTATCCATGTTACCGAGTTGCTGAGTTAATTTATAGTTGAAACAGAGAAACGTACACTGGATAACACATGATATCAAAGATAAATTATCTTCATATATCTTCAATTTGCTTCATATATAAGGGTGACAAATCTTCATTTATCTTTCTATAGTCGTTAGTGAAACGTTAATAATCGTCTGAAATCCTCTATCAACGTGAAGTATTTCTGACTCGTGGACTACAACCATGACAACATACTTGATCGTAACAATCTTGGGGCCACCGTGACGAATCTATTTCATAATTTTATTTTATTCAAATGTCCTTATAGGCCCTACTTTTCCTTGTGTCGCCATAGACTTAGCGTATTCGTACTGGGCGCCATGCATTTGCGACTCAGCACGACAAAAAAAACACGTGAAGTGGCCCACTAATGACCAATTGTGGTCACTCCAACCGCCTCGTTTCGGTCAATGAGTGTCCAATGAGCATGACATCGTTAACTGATTTTAACTCGAAATAGACAGAGAACATTTCTGTAGTAACAAACGTAAAGTGAAGCCCGGCGTACACCGTTTCCCTTTGACCAATTCACTGAACCACCAGGCCATTGGGCCCCTGTAACCGTTCACCAGACGGTCATTCAAACGTCTGATTTTTGCTGGATCTGGAAAGTTTGAAGGAAACACTCCCATTCCACTAAACGTAACTTTTATGCTACCAAATTAAATTTACAAAGAAAGTTACATGATGCAAAACCGAAACACCCCCAAAATATGTCATGTGACTAGCAACCATGTGAGTGGTTACTAGATAACCACCGAGTGGCCGATTTAACCGTGAGGCCGATGCTGTTCTCTGGTTGAACTAGTCAAGTCGGGAAAGTGTGGGGCGGGCTTGATGAGCAACACCGGTCTATTTCGCCCAGTAAAGACTCCTATGGTAGATGCAAGTGTGATCGAAAGACGACAGTCTGAGCAGTCTTTCCTCACACACACTATCATTTATCAAGTTTGAGTACAAATCCAGAGGGAGTTTCCAAATGAGGGCTTATTACCCCAAACTTCTGCCGCCCATGAAACCTGTCTGATCTCGTACTGACTGAGTGTTATATCCTGGTTCGGAGTTCGAGTCAAAGGAGTTCTTTAAGTTTACTGAAACAATTGTCTAATTTTTTAACACTTCAAAAAAAAAAGAAGAAACCTCATTTTGCAGTGCGTAATAATTTAAGCAGAAGGACTTTGAGGAGATTACCCCTGTTCACCGGCCTAGACAGACTCCTATAGCAGGACTTTCATGGTACTCCATTATATGGGTATGTGGGAATTACAGAGGTTCTAAGTAACGGATCGTGAGTTCAGATTTAGGAAGGAGACATATAATGAGAATTTGATGCATAGTTAAACAATTTGTAGCTGCTGAAACTGGTTTGTAAAAATTGACAAATCATTTCCTATATCAAATCATTTAGAGTTCGTGGTACATCACTTAAGTAATTTTGTAAAGCCAGACCTAACTGAGAGAGGCTTCAGTTCTGATTTACTAAGAAGTTGCAAAGTAGAACAGTATACACCGATACAATAAAACACAGTGTTTTTTTAATACATCGTTCAGAGTACAAATCCCTCTTTAAATCAAGACCAAGCACATGTAGGATATTCTCTGGAGAAGTGGGCATAAAATGTTCCCTCAAATATAAATTGTACAGTATGAGAAATAAATTTTCCCGAACTTAGAGTTTCTGGCATTTTATACGTTGAAAGTGCAGAAAGTGCTAACTTTGATCCATGGTCAGAGAGGTAGATCCTAAAAACGCTCTGATACTCAAGATGGATTGCTAACGGAGCATGATATGCTCCCATCTCCCAGCAGTTACGCCCATGTGTGAATCTGATTTTGGACAACGATTCAGACGAACGACCACTCTCACAAGTTGCTGAATTGGCCCGTTATATCTTGCTTGGACCTCTTTCAATTTTTTCCAGGAAACATTATTCATGACCGTCTTCGTTTGTCTAACCCTAAGAATACTATTTCGTTGAGAATATTGCTTGAAATGCACAATATTATCTGTCTAAACTTGAATAGAGGATGCTTCTGTCACGAAATATAAGGTGCTGCTGCAGTTGGAGGGGATCAGCATCTCGCCTTCACGCTAAAGGGCTTTTTCAACTGTGCCATGGACAGGATTGCTTTTGTCATTGCCATGTAAAATTTTAAAAATACCCTCAAGTGTTTAACTATGTTAACTTTAAAAAATCCAAAGTAAACTTTTAACTTTGTTGGTCAACTTCTTCAACCAAAGTAACACTGCTGAGATGACAGAATTCTACCATCATAGTCTGCAAAAGACGCAACACCTCCTCTTGAGTCTGTGACTCTGTGCCGAGAGAAAATCTTTCCACTGCAATTGCACTACAATTTCAAACTGTGTTTGTAAATAACATGTTTAAACAGTTTAATAGTTTCGTGGCAAAATAGACCTTAGAAAGTCCAAGGTGCCTACTCTGGAATACTTCTCTCAGTTGGTCTTTTAATTCCTTTAGTTTTCTTCTTGGTGTGAGCCTTCTACTGTTCTCTGCATGAGCCTTTCCTTTTGACGATTATCTCCTCTTTAGGCTGTGCAAACCAAGTTACATGTACAATGTTCTGGGTATCTTGCAGTAAGTTATAGCAGACAATGTGTTACTTTTGCATAAATCTTATACACGCAGTCTACTATAGGTCAGGAGTTCAATAACGTCATTAAGTTTTC